TTTGTGTGTATTTGTGGGATGCCATTCTGATGCTAAGTTCGTTTTTTCGTCGCTTCCGGAACCGCTCGAAGGATTTGGCACTTTCGTTTATGATTGGAATCCTCCCCCCAGGAGCTCAGTATGCAGATAAATCCAAAGCTCTCATCAGCAGCCGAGCCCTTCGCAAAGGGATGCTTATTGTAGCGAAGAGGAGCTCGCTGAGCTCATCCTCCGGCAAATCTCTTTCTCCCTGGAGATGCTCCAGGGAATTTCTCACAAAATACTCGCCTTCACAAAAATATGCGGGGACCTTTCCCGCGACTCGCCAGAAAATTGTAGTCTTCATATTATCGTCTCAAGAACAGTGAGATCGAAAGCTATTCGACTCGTCTGCGCATCGAGTTGATAAAGTCCGCTCGCGCATAGGGTCGGCTCGATTGCTCCCGTTCCGTTGCCGAAGACCTCATCAGCTGGCTGTGAGGACGACCGACTTGTTTCGGAAATTTTTCGCAATCGCCGCATGGGATCGATGATGACTTATCCCGAGGAGCTTCAGCATCGCACGAACCCTCCCCCGAGCCTCTGGTGAGTCCTGTTCAATGCGGAGAAACCTTGTCGTTGCCAGTCGAGAGATTCACCTTTGCGCAGTATCCTCTCCGCATTACAGGCATGGACACGCCTCGTTAACCGATCCCTCGCCCGGGAGGGAAACATAGGAATCATTGATTCCGATGAGGTACTTCCAGTTACAGTGACGCTTCGAGTTTCACACAGCCGCTCACGGACGCCCACCAATGGAACGGACCTCCCTCGGTATTATGATGAATTATGTGATGATCGGAGACGTGATGAGGAAATCTATTATTCTCGTGTCACCGCTTCATCGGAATGAGAGATAAACGAATTGCGTAGAGCAGCGCTCATCGGAGCGAAGCCCCGTGGAAGCTGATTCGAAAGATTGAATACTACTATAGATATACATAGAGGGTCAAGAATGGGCGCCGAAGGGCCTCAGAGGCTTAACTCTCGTCCTGATAGCAGTTCGACCTCCCGAATATGTTCCAACAAATTATTTTGCGGCCTTGGGACGTCGCTGATCTGTCGAACTTCTGTTCCTTGTCAACGTTTCCTTCTACAGTTTTAGAACTAAGTGAAGCGGCCCGTCTATGTAGTGAATCACGCATGCGGGAGCAAGCCTGTGACGCTCGAGACCTACCTCTTGAGAGAATCTCGTGTGGCGATTGCGCCCCGAGGGCTATGACGGGATCGGTAGGGGAGCAGACTTCGATGGCATGATCCCGGCTTATGACGTGAGCCTGCGAAGAATTCAGGGATCTTTTTGCTTCTGTCTTTCAAGATGGCTGATTCGAGGAATTTCTTCTCTTTCGAAACCAATCGATTGCTTGACGCCATCCGTCAGTCCGGCGGGCCTCCGCTCCGATAGTCGGAGGGGCATCGAGGTCATTCCGAGAGGATCTCGCTTCGATCTTCCGACTCGAGTACAAGTTTCCTCTCGTTTGAGCAGCCGAGCTATCTACTCGACTGTGAGCACAACAATATCATTACAGCCACGCATTGAACGAGCAAGCGCCGACTAAACAGCGATAGAATGACGTTTGGCCGGGGCTTGCTCTCCGCAGTCCCGTCCTTCCATCTCCTCGTCCGACCGTCCGTCCGTCGTGTCGGCCAGTCTGTCCGTCCGTCCGACCGTCCGTCCGTCTCGGAGAAGAATAGCCACGACAGGACGCCACCGCGAGCTTTTATCATCGATGGCCGAACGCTTGCGTTGGCTCTCTTCATCAGAAACATTGGCTGCAACAGCTGATGTCGTCCTGCAAACGGCCTGAGCCCTGATTACACTTGCCTTAGGCAGGGTCAGACTAATTTCCTCGAAGCAACGCAGGGACGAGGGATCCCACTGTGTCGTTGTCCCATACGGGATTACCGTGACCTCTCGCCACAATCTGGCTGTCGACGACGAAGACAGGAAAAGACCCCCTGGTACTACAACTACTGCTCCCGCCCAGGTCGCTCTGCGCCGTTGCTCATTCGCCCCATTTCTACCTCAGCTCTTGATGGCCAACTCGTCTTTTGCTTCTCCCCCTGCACATGGACACCATTCGCGACCTCCAGGAAGCACCTCTGCCGGAACCTCGTTGACTCAACCGCAACACTTTGCCGTCACGTTTGATAGATTAGTCCAGTGTCGGTGCGAATGCTGTGCTCACGGTCTGTGGAGCATCTTCCCGTCACCACAAGGAAACCATAGGGCCGGTCCCATAGCATCAACTACGAGCGGCGAAGGGCTTGCTCTGGGCGTCCGAGAGGACATTCGCCGACGAAACACGATGGAACGCTCGGCGTGCTCGCACAGAGATTTCTTGCGACAGAACCTTTTACTCGCCATCGGAGAACCGTTTCCGATTCTCCGGTTGTATCTCCTCACTCAGTCCGAGTACATTGCGAACTGCGAGCCGCTCGACCGATGGACAGTCGCGATGTTTGCGGAGGAGGAAACGAGTGGCGGAGCGTGGTTGGGGGTGATACGGCTCGCCATTCTGTGTTTGTCCGAACAAGGAAGAGGATGGAACAGTTCGCGAGGGAGTTCCATGTTCAGAATTCACTGCCCGGAGGGGGAGGGGAGAAATGGCGATGCCGTCCTAAAATCTGTTCTCTCCGGAGACACTCGCTCGTTCCCGCGGAGCTCGCACTGTTGCGAACCGGCGCTATGTTCGCGTTCAATAAATGCTCATCTTCTACCATATTGCTTCCCTTTCGGCCTACTCCGTGAATAAATGTGATCTACATTAAAACTCCAAACGTGTGGGCATTTGATGGCAAGCTCACCGTATCCTGGAATTCCGATAGGTGTTGCAAGAGGACAGGCTCCTTCACCGATTCGGGGGTCCGCTAACAGCAAATTTGCTAGGGGAGCGATCCGATAATTTTTGCTGATGGATTGTTCCTGTTATGGAGCACCATCGTCGTCTGAGTGAGCCGGAATACTTCGACAGGAGCTCGCTCGGTATAATACCGGGCTGACTCGCTTCGAAGGATGCGCACGATGGTTTCAAATTCCCCCTGAAGGAGTCTCGGCTTCCGTAGATGCGAGGCCTCGGGTTTTCTGATCCGAGGATACCGCTCTCGAGCGCACCGGAATGATCCCAACATCGAAATGTCCCATTGGGTTAGTCTAACTTCCATTCGCTCATTTTTTCCTATCTCGTACAGAAATTCCAGGGCTCAGAGATTCGGGGGATGACATATTTGAAAAAAAGACCTCCGAAAAATGAAAATGATTGATACACTTCGGGTGGAAGAGCAGCGCTGATTCTAGCCTCCGAACTATTTTCAATGCACAAACATGGATGGGGGTCCATCGAGAACTGAGCCACCATCGAATGGAAGAAATCGTATACATGCGATCGGCTGAGGCTTGAACGCCATCGAGGAAGGAGGCTGCTCCGATCGAGCGGGTCTACATACCAGGATCAGTCTCTCTCTCTGCGCGTCCAACGATCGAGTGGCATCCTATTGGGTGGCGAGAAAGTTTCCAACTCGAACCTCTACAGATCATCATCTGGAACCCCCAGGCAAGTGGCCAATTTATTGATTGTTGTTTATGGCACAATTCTGATCCCAGCGAATTCGTGTGGACTCTGGACTCAGAGGGGCAAGCCTTGCGCGATGATTTTCTGACAGAGACCAGATTTCTGCGTCGAATCAACAGCCTGAATCCTAAACCCCCCTCCATCCGGAGTCGTTTTGCGGATACAGCTTCCCCGTTCCGAAAATCGGAAAGCCCGAATTGCTCAAGACTCTCGGGGATAGAAGGTCGGACGACTTTCCTCAACGTACGCAATCTCGACTCCGACAATCAAGCGAAACCTGACCGACGCTTTCAGAGCTCTCTGCTTATCCGTATCACCAATCAATTACATGATTCATTCCCTCTTCGCGTCTTCAGCCCCAGGTCAGTCGTGGCGCTACATCACGAAAGCTGTGCGGAGATGTCTTATCTCTCCCGTCGGTTGGAGAAGCTGCATGGTTCCCTTCGCCGGGGGATGCTCTGAAAGACATGACCTCCACAGATAACATAATCTCTTCTCGGCGCCAGAAAGCGGGTCTCCCGATCCATGGGAGCGGCTCGACGAATATCCTCGAGCTTGAAGAATGCGCGACTTGGTGCTCGGACTTTCGAAGCTCCGACTCATCAAGAGGAATGGGTGAACGCCATGGAATGATCTCGCGGAGGCCAATGAATAGAGGCGGGAACTTCGCTCTGGACCGATAATAAGATTTATTCGAGCTCCTCAATATATATTTGACTCGCTGAAGCGATCTTAGAGGTAGTGATTCGGTCCGCCAGAGCTCGGACAGGATATTCCTGGGATGAGAAACTTCAGGCTGATTCCTATCAAGCGATCAGTATTTCCAGTGAGCGAAGGTTCCGTCGGCGAATCCCATCGCTGAAGGATCGTATCAGCTTCCTGATCCTTGAGAGCTGCTCTGATGTATCGAATTCTCATTGTGGGGTTCTTGTACCTATCGCGGAGCGGTCCGGCGCGTCGCAGAGCACAGTGGCGGGGCGCTGGTGCACTTCATCGCTATCGCCAGTAAAGTGAGACAATCAGGACGATGATTTTTGCCGGGTTATACCTGATATGATAGGGTCGGCACTCGTGTTGTTGACATTTATCGTCATCGAAGCGGACAACAATTATTCGTTGGTTGGTTGACGTTTATCCTAGAAACTGCTTTCTTTTTTAAAATCAAATGTCCTCCCGTCGGCGCCGCTCAACGTTTTTCAGGAAACTCGGAGGCGTGCTCACCCCGCCATGAGGAATAGAGAAATTCCTCCGCCGGACAGAACTGTCCGGGTCATTGCTGAACGCGCGGGAAATATCTCACGTAATCTCTCAGCTATGGTTCCGGGCTTGTACCTACTTCCTGTGACGACGAAAAGTGTCTTCTGCTATTTTCAACGAAGAACACCTCTAGTCAGTCAGTGTCGCGTGGCAATGTCCTCCAGCTCCACGGTAAGCGGCTACAGAAACGTCGGAGACTGTCGTTCAGAGAAGATCATGGCTTTATGGAATTTCGAGCGTGCGACAAGATTACCTTCACCTCCAGGGAGGACGTGGCACTCTCACGTAGGGCACACCCCATCCATCGTCATTGTTAGTTGAACCGGGGGTCCTATCGATAGAGGTGGACCTGCGATCGGAGACCTTCCCTTATCTATTCCTCTGAAGAGCTCCATCGGTTGATTGCTTGTCTACAAATACTGATCCATATCATGGTTCCCCCGCTACCACGTTCGATGATCGCGACGGCATTAAACCGTCCGTATGATGCTTAAGCGACTCGCGGATGAGATGACGAATGAGATCCGCTAAGAACTCCAAGCTGGGACCGAAATTCCTCTTGAATTTCTTCGCTGCTCGGATTGATGGCGCGAGCACCGATTCGACTTCATAGAGCCGCAGAACTCTAAACACACGCGCTCTCCAGAGACGGCCGGGAAGCTCGGTGAGCTCATGACCGTCGGATGCTCCTGTCACATGTACCTACTCGATTTTATTCTTCCCCAGATGCCGACTGGCCCACGCAGTGCACTCGACGCTTTTATTTTCTATTTGGAGTCCTTCAAGCCTGCGAAGAACAATGTTCAGCTGTTTCGTAAACAGAATGTTTTATGCGAAGTCCGGAATCCTTCGAGTCAAGTCGATCTACTGGTGCGAGCTTTAGAGAACGAAATGCCGACGAACGTCCAAGCTCTCTATGGCGGCATCCCTGGCCCGAAAGACGCGGCGAAGGAAAGATCCGGCACCAGGACCCCGACCGAGACGACGGACGAGCTCGAGGAATCGAACGAAGTGATAGAAGACGGAGACGGCTGTCCTAACGACGCCGACGACTGTCCTAACGACGCCGACGACGAGCACAGTGACCCATCGTACGCTCCTCATCGGCGGGCTCGACTGTAATTCCGCTTTCCGCTATTTCTTTTTCTAATTTCGGAGTGATTCACCCTCCGGCTGGCCAATGTCGGGAGATGGACGGAACTCTGAAAGAATCATGACTTGCAGGCGATCGTCTCGGAAAACCTCGTCAGTCGACGAGCTGAGCAGGCCGAAGAAGAAGCGGGGCTCAGGTGCGAGGCCTTTCAGATGCGAAATATGTAATTCCGGTTTCGGGCACGAGTCGACGCTACGGAATCATCGTAGAATACACACAGGCGAGAAACCCCACCAATGCCCGGTGTGCTGCAAAGGATTCTCTCAAATAGGTTTGTAATGCGACTCTTCCTCCGCATCGCCCCGGAGCGGAGCCGCGGAATTGAAAACCTTTTCCCGCCTCCGGAGTTGGCGAATTCATGCGAGGGACTCCGCAATAGAATAGGAGCACAGCAATCTACTATGAGAGTTTTCTATCTACATAGGATGAGTCTCCCGCCTTAAAGTTTTCCATTCGCAGGCAACATGAAACGACACATGGCCCAACACACGAATCTCGCTCTATCGTGTCAGCACTGTTCCGTGGTGTTCGCTTCCAAAAGCCTTCTAGATGGTAAGAGCTCCGGACAAATCTTCAATTTCGTTGTCTAGACCCGCGTCCGTTAGAGCGGGAAGCGCTAAAGCTGCCTTCCTTAATTACTCTACGATGCGGCGACCACATACTCGACAGCATCAATTTGCACTGGCCGTGTTTGCGGCATGTAGTTTCTTCCATTAGAGCATCCGGCGGACGGGCGGGTCGGTCAGACAGCCAGCCAGCCAGCCAGCAAGTGAAGTCGGCTTCTTGTTTCCAGCACACATGCGCTCTTGTCGCTCCGGGGACCGTTTTAGATCGTCGTCGTCGACGTCATCCTCGTCCAGGCCTCCGAGGGCGACTGTTCTTCAACAGCAACAAGACGTTGAACAAAAGCAACAAAAGAAACAAGTCCAACATACGAATGCCTACCCATCGGGCATACAGACGTCGTGGCCCTCTCAAAAACCCGGGAAAGATCCTAGGCTCTGGACCATGTATCCCTGTCCCCACTGTGATAAGGTGAGCCCAGAGCTCCTGCTGAGCGTCTCGCTCTGTCCGACCGAATGCGTTCTCGACGAATTTCTCGGAGGCTGATCGCGCGAGGCCTTGAGACAAAGCGTCTCTACAAGCGCTCTGGTAGCGTGCGACTCGATCGAACCTTCCACATCGTTTACAGGTACTGACTTGGCAATATGACTATCGCAATCACGTCGAAGGACATCGCCGACTCTCTTGCGACATATGCGGCAAAGCTGATTTCAAGAACTCAGCCGCGCTCTCGAGTCATGCTCGCTCGGCTCACTGATAGAGCTTGCAAATGCCCGACTTGTCCAAGAACCGTGGTTCCCGGACCCTCGAGGACCGGAGGAGCGGAACCGCGCGTGAGAACCGGCTGAGAATCGGAATATTCCAGTACTCCTTCATGGCCATCGACGAATGGGATCGTTGCGAAATATCGCACACATCTCCTGAGTTGCACGGACGCGTACGCTTTAATTTATTGCCTTCGAATGATATCACCACATCACTCGTCAGAGTCGAAGTTTTTTCGTAATATGAAAACATTGTCTAGAGTTACAGAACTCAAACTCGTTTCATTTTCTCTCAAAGTCAGTCTTGGCTGAACGGAGGTCGGGCGGAAGGTGTCTAGCACCTCTTCGCACGATGTAAGACACGGCCCATTCCCGCCTCCGGCTCTCAAGAATTTCACTCCCATCCGGACGTTTCCCATCGTATCCAGAGGATGTCCTCCGGGAATCCCATGTGGAGATGCAGAATTGGCGAGAAGGGTATCCCACGCGAGGTTCACCTGACAAAAAAGAAGAGAAATAAGTCATCGATGCTAGAGCAGCTGAATCTGAAGAGCAAAAATGAGTCATTGATGCTGGGGCAGCTGAATCGAGTGATGCGAAATCGGAGCATCGGTCATGACCGGATATATTATTACCTCGTCGATTCCTCCTTCAACATTTCCGAGCGGCGAAGAGTTTCCCTGCTCGCCGACGATCTGTTCCGAGACCTCCACTATATCAGCATTGCTGGGCTTTGTCTTGTCTGGTGCCGGTTCCACGTTGAACTCATATTTCGGATCACTTGAGTAGCGCAAGAACACTCGAAATGATCGTCCAACCTTTGACGCTTTCGATCATCGACGAGCTCCTCACGGAGCATCTGGGCTAGCTCCGTGCTGGTCATCCGCAGGTCCGGCCGTGGAGGAGCTGCATAATCAAATCGTTGACTTGGATAAGAGTTGGGCGATCTGCTTGAGGATTGATGAGTCTGAATATTTCATCGGTGTATCGTATTGCGGGAGCACGTCATTCATCGCTGGAAATAATCTCGATGGCTATATCGATCATCAAGTCGAATACGATCGCAGGCGACATTCAAGGATCCGGCGAAGATCTCTCCCGTTATGCTCGTCTCGACGACTTTCTCTCCCTGTTCCTAATTATATGGCAAACCCACCGTGACGACCGTCGGCAACCGATTCAAAGCCGTATGTAGACGTGTTGCTCGTTGAATCAAGTCCTCGAGCTTCAGAAGCGTTGACCTCCTCAGCGACAAGGATTTCGACCTCGAAAGCAAAAGCGCTTGATCCTTAGTCAGTCTTCCTCACAACCAAGTTTAGCCCATGAACTGGATGGTACACCTCTGCTGCCGGATTAACATGCGGTCAACTGTCCGCTCGACGTTTCAGGCTCTTCCGTTGATGCCGCTACGAAGTCATCGGTCGCGAGACCTCGACTGCGGAGGCTCGCGCCTATATGTTCGTGGAGGCTGGATCCGGTTCCTCGATCGTCGAGTTTCATCAAACCAAAAGAAAAGACTCTCGACTTCCCTAGATGTGCAGCATGATGGTGTTCATCCAGACTGATATATCGATCCGTGCCAACGACGGTGGCCTCGTCGAACGACGTGGGGAGCTTGTGTCCCCCGGAACAATACACAAGAGTCGATTCGCAGCGACGACGATCCCTTGGTCCATGACCAAATGTCAAACCCTTTTCCATTAGGTATGCTTTCGAGAAAGACCGGTTCCCCCGGTTCGATATTTCTTTTCCTCCTCCAGGCACTTTTGCATTTGCGGAGTATTCGGTATGTCTCTGCTCCATAAATATTGTCCAGCTGCAATTCATCGCCCCCGCTTCCACGCACTCGATTCGAATCTGCAACGAGAGTCGGATCACTTGTCTTCGATTTGTTGTGCTAATCCGTCGAATGCTTCATAATCGAGGCGAGACATCACTTTTCTTGAGATTCTGCTAATTGAGAAGGTTGGATAGTGTAAAAGATTCTCCTGAACAAGACTGGACCCTACGTCATCGGATCCCTGCTCGAAATCACAATCGAGGCTGCCGAGGCGAGACGGTTCACCCGAGCTCCTAATCTTTCTCACGATAGGCCAGAAAAGAGGACGTCGGCTCACCTTGCCACAGACCGAGCATTGATTCCTAGTGCCCGCTTCGCTGGCCTAGCGCCAGACCCATTTTCTCGAGCCGCTGATCTCTCGGGACTCTGCTATCATCGCAAGTTTCTAATCAGCTGTCTAAAACCGGGTCCACCGTCAAACAGCTGATTGTGAGTGTAAAGGCTAAGTCGGTGAGCATCCGATCTCGTCGTGACGCGGCGACGCTTACGCACGCATGCGACATTCTGCCCACCGACAGGCCCTCGGTCTTCAACTCGGAAATGCATTCCAGCGGTGGAAGACGTCAGGGTGGCTCGGCTCAGCTTTCGGGGGGCTGCAAAATCGAACGGTACCCAACGGGTGTAAACCGGAAAAATTGCACGCTTTCTCTCGGGTAAAAACCGGAAACATCGGTCTTAACCCGCGTTCTGGGCCAAGCAGTCCGGAACCGTGCAAGCCCTGCTCATTGATTCACAGCGAAGGGCAGGGGTTTTTTCCTTGAAGTTCGAGGGAGCTTTTTAGAGCCGTCCGTCGGCCGTACCGAGTCGGTCAATCGAGGGAACGTTGAAGCGGTCGCGATCTGGAGTCCGAACAGCAGAGGAACAACAAGTGACGCTCCTTGGAACGCTCCGAAATCCCCTAGCCGAGTCTAGAACCATTCCCCTCAAGATCTACATATTCTCGAGAATATTTTCGAAGCAGACGACGTTCTGTTTTCAATTTGCGGAGTACGTCGGCCCCGTCGATCGACCCTTCCTCCTATTATCGTCGGATTTTCTGCTGCTTTATAAAAGGAACAATATGTATATAGAACTAGCGCTCCCGGTCGCCGCTTCGCGGCGACTCGGTATCGCTAGACTCACTACACATGCGCTAGCTCCGAGTGCGCTGGCTCCGAGTGCGCTGGCTCCAAGTGCGCTGGCTCCAAGTGCGCTGGCTCCGAGTGCGCTGGCTTCGGGTGCGCTTGCTTTGGTCGCGCGTGCTCTTGGTGAGCGTCCCGTTTCCCTGCTTTCCCGTTTCCCTGCTT